CCCGCCGACCGACCCTCTTGTTGGCAGCTCTGCCGCCAGTTCAGGGGAGGAGTAATTTCTCTCCCGAATGCATCAGAGCCATGAAATTCTGGGTTCAATACACAAGGCCCTGACAGCAGCAGGGAGGCAGAGATCCCAGGTTTCTAGGAAGCCCAGGGGTCAAGGAGGAGAGGCGACAATGCAGTTCCAAAGGGCACTTATGCATCACGTCAAAGAGGCCAGGAGAGAACATGCAAGCTAGTCAGACAGCAGGGGAGGCACCCGGATTCCAGGACAGGGCAGGGCTCCACCTAGAGGCTGCGTGGGGTATTAGGCAGGGCACCAGGGCTGTTCAGCAAATGTTCCCAGAAACACCCCCTCCCACCCCCCTACCCCCGTCAGTAGAAGAACAAAATCACTGTTCTCAGGACTAGCAGATGGCGTCATGATTATGTCGCTGGACTCCCATGTTGTTGACCACAGTTCAAGTCTCAGACCTGGAAGCTTAAATCTCATGCTGGGCACGTGTGTGTCTGCCCAAAGTCCTGAAAGAAGAATGGAGGCGAAGGGACTGCAACGCGGCCATCCCCCCTGGGGGGCGATTTCTCACTTTCTGCCTGTCTCTCTCTGTGTCTCCAGCGAGTAAATGTGCCCTATAGAAAAATCACCGTTCTCTGTTCTTACACTCTCAACCCGACACACTTCCCGTGAGCAGTGTCTGTGAGTCCCCCTCCACGTCCAGCAGCTCGGCAGCACAGCCGGTGTCCTGCAACTGACCCGATTCTGAGCTCTACCTACAGTAGGGTCATGTCCCCGAGGCGACAGGCTAGTTCCGCAAGACGGCCGTCCTTGCCAGACACCAGTCACAAGCCCCAGTTGTGATAAGTTGGCGAGACAGCTCACCGAGTTCCGGGAAACACACTCATGGGCCCACCGCATTGATAAGGCTATGCCAAAGGGCACAGGTGAGCAGCTGATGGCGTGACCCATGGGGGAAGGGCGGGGAGGGCCTGTCCCCACGGACTGGGGCACGCCACCCTCCCAGCACAGGGACGTGCTCAATTCAGCAAGATCTCCGAGTCCCACTGTACAGGGATTTTACAGAAGCTTTCTGATGTAGGGATGTTCACATTTCAGCTTGGCCTCCAGTCTCTCTCCCCTTCCTGGAGGCTGGGGAAGTGGAGCTGAAATTTCCAAGCTTCTAAGCACATCTCGGTCTTTCTGCCCAGGGGCCCACCAAGAGTCATCTCACTGGGAGAAACCAACCTAATACTCAGGAAACTTTGAGGATTGGAAGGCCTGTGTCAGGAACCAGCTCTCAGGAAAAGATGCACCTCAGACCCTTCCTGCTCAGAACATTATGTGGGCTTCCAGAGCTCCATGCCAGAAACTGGAGGCAGAGACCAAATACAGATACTGATGATATGAAAACATCACAGGAATTCCTTTAATTCTAGAAAGGCAGTGATTTTTACCCAAATGGAGATGCTGGAGCAAGAGATATGACCTTTGGGTTTACCCAAATGGAGATGCTGGAGCAAGAGATCTGACCTTTGGGGACAGCAGGAAGCATGATGGATAAGGCCCTGACCACTCCCACATGGCCGACCACAGTTCAAGTCCTGGACTTGGTGTCCTGCTTTCTCACTTTCCCTCTCTCTCTCTGTGTCTCTCTCTGGTCAAATTAAAATAAATAAATGAATAAGTAAAAATTAAAAATAAATCATTCTTTAAAAAAAGAGATCCAACATTTGTACATAAACATACACGCACACGCACACGCACACGCACACACACACCCGTGTAGTACATTTACACTTAGAACGTTTTCCTTTTTCTTTCTGTAACAGAGTATTTTCCACCACCATATGTTGACTTGTCATATCTTATTACACTGCTAAAGACATGTTGATGGAGAGCACTTTCTTATTTTGAAGTCCACATGTTCCTTGAGAGTTACTTTAGAAAAAGGCAAACTTCAAAAAGGGAAAACCAAGAAACATGATGCTGATTTTTTTTTTCCTATGTTAGGTTACCTAGAGCAAGGGTTGCTGGTGAAGGAAGAACTGAAGCTGCTGCGGAGATACACGTCAGATCTGCAGTTCAAGTTTGACGCTGTGTCAGTGGCCCCCACCGATCTGCTGTATTTGAAGTTGGGATGGAACTACCCAGAGGTCAGATTAAACAGACTCTTAAGGCTCCCCCGGATGTTCGAGTTCTTCCAGAGGACAGAAACGAGGGCCAGCTACCCCAACGTCTTCCGGATCTCCACCCTCGTCATGTACATCGTGGTCATCGTCCACTGGAACGCGTGCGTGTACTACTCTGTCTCCAAGGCCATCGGGTTTGGGAGCGACTCGTGGGTCTACCCTGCCACTACGGATCCCGAATTCGGTCGTTTGGCCAGGAAATACGTGTACAGCCTTTACTGGTCTACGCTGACGTTGACCACCATTGGTGAAACGCCAGCTCCCGTGAGGGATTCTGAGTACGTCTTCGTGGTCGTCGACTTTTTAATCGGCGTGCTGATCTTCGCCACCATCGTGGGTAACATCGGCTCTATGATTTCCAACATGAATGCAGCCCGGGCAGCATTCCAATCCAAGATCGACGCTGTCAAGCAATATATGCGCTTGCGGAATGTAAGCAAAGAGATGGAAAGGCGGGTCATTAAGTGGTTCGACTACCTGTGGAACAACCAAAAGACGGTTGACGAGAAGGAAGTTTTGAAGTATCTTCCCGATAAGCTGAGGGCGGAAATCGCCATTAACGTTCACTTGGACACGTTGAAAAAGGTGCGCATCTTTGCCGACTGTGAAGCTGGCCTGCTGGTGGAGTTGGTCTTGAAATTACAACCCCAAGTCTATAGTCCTGGGGATTACATTTGCAAGAAAGGGGACATCGGACGGGAGATGTACATCATCAAGGAGGGGAGACTGGCCGTGGTGGCCGACGACGGGGTCACTCAGTTTGTGGTCCTGAGCGATGGTAGCTACTTCGGGGAGATTAGTATCCTTAACATTAAAGGCAGCAAAGCCGGCAACCGAAGAACAGCCAACATTAAAAGCATTGGCTACTCGGACCTGTTCTGTCTCTCCAAAGATGACCTCGTGGAAGCTCTGACCGAGTACCCCGATGCCAAAGCTATGCTGGAAGAGAAAGGGAAGCAAATCTTAATGAAGGATGGTCTGCTGGATGTAGGCATTGCAAATGCTGCCAGTGATCCGAAAGTTCTGGAAGAGAAGGTCACTCGGATGGAGGGGTCTGTCGATCTCCTGCAAACGAGGTTTGCCCGGATCCTGGCCGAGTATGACTCAATGCAGCAGAAACTGAAGCAGAGGCTAACCAAGGTGGAGAGACTTCTGCAGCCGCTTCTTGACCCAGAACATGATTGTGAGGCGGGACTAGGGAGTGGGCCCGCAGACTCTACCCAAGAATGAAAAGCTGTCGTAACAGGCAGGGTCCTGTTGACCATGTGACTAAAGACAACCCCGATTTGGAAGAAGAGGAAGCCTCTGATGGGACACGAGGTTCACACTGTCTGTGAGGTCCTATGATGGCAGGACCCTCAGATCTTGGGATTCTTCACAATGGGTAATGTGCAAAGGTATAAGCCGATGGCCTTGTCAGTCCCCCGTAACGTCTGATTGTCTCGCATATGCTTTTACGGAACAATCTTTATGCAAGTGAGCAGCTCCTTCACTGTCAGGTTGTCGACACTGTTTTTTATTTGTTTGTTTTGTTTTGTTTCGAGAGGTTTTTGCTGTAAGGCGTGTGCGCTCGCCAGAAAGACAGAGAAAGACAGTAAGACAGAAAGCGAGAAATCACCCCCTAGGGGCGATAGCCACACCACAGTCCCTTCTCCTCCATTCTCCTCTCAGGATCTTGGGCACGCACGCACACACACCCAGCATGAATTCAAGCCACCAAGTCCAGGACTCGAACTGTGGTCAAGTGCATGGGAGTTCAGCGACATAGCCATTACGCCAACTGCTGGTCCCAGCCTTGTTAGGCCGTACACGGTGTTCCATGTAACTGAGAACCACCATGTGTGTGGTGTCTGGGATGTCATACCAAAAAGTTAGAATACAATAAAGCACAATTCCTCATGAAAGCATAGTGAGTATGTTTTACTCTATACGTTAGGAGAGACTTAGCATCCTGTAGAGCTCCAGGGTCGTCAGCGTAAGAAAAAGGAATAAAGGTGATGATGTTGGGTGATTGAAAGGGAATTGCTTCAGTGTTAGAAAGTCTGGTCTGGGCTAGAGAGAGCCCGACGTGGTGACCTCTGACCTCAAGTTGCAGGGGTCAGGGGTCACCATGCTGACGTTCACCTTGGGCAGGTGTCAGGAACTCTTGGTTCAAAGGCTTGAGATAAAGAAGACTTAGCCAACATCTCCCTCGTGACCCCTCCAGGAATAGCACCGACAAGCTCTGGGGCTGAAGGTTCCAGTTAGACTTCTACAGTGCCCTGTAGAGGTTCGAGAGAGGGCCCAGACTTGCCCGGGAACTTTTGTTTGTTTGATTTTGAAAATGGGACTCAAGTGGCTTTGAGGGGTCGCATGGCAAGAGCGCATCCGGGGAATGTGGAGCCTACAGCAGGAACTCAGCTCCCAGCAACCCAGAAATCGGCCATATCCTAGGCTGACTGGAGCCCAGGGAGCGGTTTAAAAGGAACATCTGAACCTATCAGGCAGGACAGGCTTGCAGAAGAACCAGGGGATGGGAGTGAGGGAACGGGGCTGAGGCTCACGGTGTAAGATCCCTAGTTCCTGCCCCCGAGAGGAGAGGAGAGAATGCTGGAACCTGGGGCGGCAGCCAGGGAGGGAGAAGAAGCCCAGGCTCCCACTCCGGCCTGTAGGTCCGATGATGACCTACGAGCGTTCCTCTGTCCCTGCTTCCAGCTCCACTTTAATGTAATAGTCCCGTAGGAAGACATTGCTTCCAAATTTTGCATACTTTTTTTTTTTGAGAGGTTTTTGCTATAGGGCACGTGTGCTTGCCAGAAAGACAGAGAGAGACAGAGAGACAAGCGAGAAATCACCCCCCAGGGGAGATGACCACGCCACAATCCCTTCTCCATTCTCCTCTTGGGATCTTGGGCACGCACGCACACGCACCCGGCTTGAGTTTAAGCCACCGGGGCCGGAGCTCGAACCACGGTCGACTACATGGGAGCCCAGTAACATAGTCATTATACCAACTGCTGGTCCAGCATACATTTTTTTCAATCCCAGTTTTTCCAGTTTAAAATATAATGTGATTAAGCTTCTAACCATTAGGTGGCAATGTTGCTCTGTAATTACCACTCCCCAAGCCCGAAGCTGTCTTCCTCAATAGGAATTACAGGTAGTAAAGTTGATGTTCTTTGATAATCAAGAGCCTTGTTTTTTCTGACATGGAAATTTCCAGAAGATTCTGGAAAAGCAAAATATATACCAGTGTAAAATGCAAACATGATCAAATAAAATATAAAATTTAAGTACAAATTTAGTAGATAAAGTAATAAGATAAATTGAAACATTTAAATGTTTCTTAATTTCAGAACATTCATCAAAGGAATAAGAATAATTAAATTACAAGATCTTTTACTATTGTGGAAGGCATGTATTACAGACTAACAAAAAAAGGGAAAAGGAGCAAACAGCATTTATATTAAAGTTGCTTACTTTTTTTTTTAAGTCTATTGCTTTTTTAAATAGTTTTTTTGCCCTAGGGTTCATGTACTCACCAGAGACAGAGAGACAGAGACAGATAGAGAGAGGGAAAGTGAGAAATTCCCCCTTCCCCCCCAGGGGAGAATGGCCACATCACAATCCCTTCTCCATTCTCCTCCCAGGATTTAGGGCACTCATGCACACACATGTGCCTAGTGTGAGTTTTAAGCCAGGGTCCAGGACTCAAACCATGGTCGGCCTTGTGGAAGTCCAGCGCCTTAACCACCACGCTCCCTGCTGGCCCCTAAGTCCACTGCAATGAAGTTTGGAAGCTACTGATTTGTTTCAATAGTGCTGAAAATAAGTCTGGCAAGGACATCGTCAATTTAGGTAATACTTTTTTTATGAGTACTGAAGCTGTGGCATTGGAAGTGCACGTTTACAGTCAGGTATAAAACGCCAAACAACAGGCGTACAGACACGGAGGAAACGGCTTGACGTTCCCTGGGCTACTTTGTCTCCAGGTGAAGAAGGAGGAAGGAAGGACGTCCGAGGAAAGCAAACGAGGAATGTGGACAATGCAGGTGGCCTCCAGAGAGTACCCGGCACACCTGTCCTCGCTCAGGAAACGCAGAAGTGATGGCCGGTCTTAAGGGCGTGGAGTCCTGGGAGCCGTGGGTGGGAGAGAGGCTGTGCTCCACTTTGGAGTGTGACATGCCAGTGTCCGGTGGAGCCACGGCTGGGCCGACCTGAAATCCACAATTTCCGTGTTAGATATCGTCCCTAGAGAAATTGTCACAGCTGCCTGAGGGGACGCGCTCAAGAGTGAACATAGGAGTGGAGCATCAGAAACGACCTGAATGTCCCCCAGAAGAGAGTAGATAAATAAATCGGATATAGCTGCACACTGGGGGACTACGGAACACAGAGCTGCCGTGGTGCTGGTCCGGGCCAGACACCGGCCTCGCGCTTTCTGGGTGTTAATGCGGTTACTCCGCGTGACACCTGCAAGGTCATCCCATTCTGTTCCCAGTTTAACCGATGAGGCACGGAGGAGTGAAGGGATTTGCCCAAGACGCACAGGAAGGTGGTGGCACAGCCGCCTTGTGAGCCCAACTCCTGTGCTGACTGCCACCTGTGCAGGGTTCAAACGTGGAACAGCGCTTGGCAGAGTTCGTGGGTCTGGATCCACCACATGGCATTTCACCATAGCCGGGGAAAAGATGCCGGTGATCAGAGCAGCCTTTATCTCTGGGGACCACCGGGTGGGGTGGGGGTCAGGTGAGAAATACACAGGCCTGGGACCAGCAGTTGGTGTAATGGCTGTCCCTGGACTCCCATGTAGATGACCGCGGACCTGGTGGCTTAAACTCACGCCGGGCGCGTGTGTGTGCGTGCCCAAGATCCCAAGAGGAGAATGGAGGAGAAGGGATTGTGGTGTGGCCATCCCCCCTGGGGGGGGGGTGATTTCTCATTTTCTGTCTCTCTGTCTCTTTCTGTCTGGTGAGTGGATGGGCCCTATAGCAATAGCTCTCCAAAAAAAGAAAAGAAAAGAAAAAAAAAAAAAAAAACAGAAATATGCAGGCCTGCTAGTCTGTCCTGTTCGACATCTTCTAAAACAATCCACGGCAAATGAGTCCAATCATCACGATTTGACCTGCCAGGTACGGATACGTGGATGTTGTTCTCTAATTTTCGGTATGCTGGAAAAAAAAAGAAAAGAGAGAAAAGGAAGGGGAAGAGC